GGAAGGGGGAGGGAGAGAGAGAGAAACATCAATGAGGAGAGAGAATCATGGATCGGCTGCCTCGTGCATGCCCCACACTGGGGCTTCAGCCCGCAGCCCGGGCCTGGGCCCTGACCAGGAATCGAACTGTGATCCCCTGATTCCTGGGTCGATGCTCAACCCCTGAGCCACGCTGGCCGGACGTTTTTCAAACATGTCCTCCTTGTTCAGGCATCACTATTCTGCTTTCTGGTCTACGAACCCAGGCCCCCGCACGCATCCCACCGAGAGGGGCTGGGATCTGAGACCCAAGTAGAAACAGTGTCCTACCGCGAGGAGTGGCCGACTTTGTGAGCCACCTCGCCTTCATCCCTCCTCCCCCGGCTCCCTCCTCCCAGGCGACCGGGAGTACATCCGGGACCTGAAAGAGAAGTGCTGCTACGTGGCTTTGAACTTCGACAAGGAGAAGGCGGCAGCCCCCTTGCTGACCCGGGCATGGACGCACCAGCTGCCGGACGGCCGGGAGATCGACCTCGGGCAGGAGATGTTCCTCTGCATGGAGGTGCTTTTCCAGCCGGACCTCATAGGTGAGCGGGCGGGAGGGCGTGGGCAGGTGCGCGTGGGCAGGCAGACACAGACCAGGGGACACGGATGGGAAGATGTGGACAAACAGACGTGGATGGGCGGACACGGACGGGCAGACGTGAACAGGCAGATGTGAACAGGTGGACATGGACAGGCGGACACGGACCAGGGGACACAGACGGGCAGACATGGATGGGCAGACGTGGATGGGCGGACACGGACGGGCAGATGTGAACAGGCAGATGTGAACAGGTGGACATGGACAGGCGGACACGGACCAGGGGACACAGACGGGCAGACATGGATGGGCAGACGTGGATGGGCGGACACGGACGGGCAGACGTGAACAGGCAGATGTGAACAGGTGGACATGGACAGGCGGACACGGACCAGGGGACACAGACGGGCAGACATGGATGGGCAGACGTGGATGGGCGGACACGGACGGGCAGATGTGAACAGGCAGATGTGAACAGGTGGACATGGACAGGCGGACACGGACAGGCGGACACAGACAGGTGGACACAGACAGGCAGACTTGCATGGGTGGACACGGATGGGCGGACACGGGCAGGCAGACGTGGATGGGCGGATGTGAACAGGTGGACACGGACAGGTAGACATGGACAGGTGGACACGGACAGGTGGACACGGACAGGTGGACGTGGACAGGTGGACACAGACAGGCAGACACGGATGGGCAGACTTGCATGGGTGGACACAGACGGGTGGACACGGCCGGGCAGACATGGATGGGTGGATGCGAACAGGCGGACATGGACAGGTGGACATGGACAGGCGGACACGGACAGGCGGACATGGACAGGCGGACACTGATGGGCAGACGTGGACAGGCAGATGTGAACAGGCGGACGTGGACAGGTGGACATGGACAGGCAGGCACAGACAGGCGGACACTGATGGGCAGACACGGACTGGCGGACACTGATGGGCAGATGTGGACAGGCGGATGTGAACAGGTGGATGTTGACAGGTGGACACGGACAGGCGGACATGGACAGGCAGACACGGACACGCAGATGCTGTGCCAGAGAAGGAGCGGGGGCAGCGGGGAGAGGGCTGCCCTTTGAGTAGCAAGTGGTAGCGAGTCTGCGTCCCGTTCTAAAGTGCCTCCGGAGCCAGCTGTCACTTAGGAAGCACCTACTGTGTGCCCGCCGCTTTGCTGACCTTGTCTGTGGGTTGCAACCTGTAACCCACCCCCCCACACCCCCTTTCGCAGCCGCGGACTCCCACGGGGGCCGGTATTTGATTTGTCAGGTGTGATTGCGCCCCCACACGATGGCCACTCCCAGCCCCTCCCCCTCCCGCCCCCAGGGAGGAACAGCCTGGGCGCCCACATGATCGCCTTCCGCAGTGTCAGCTCCTGCAGCACCCGCCAGCAGAGAACCCTCTTCGGGAGCGTGCTGCTGTCCGGAGGCACCGGTGTCCTGAGGGGACCCTGAAATCCTCACAGAGAACCGTCCCCCGCGGGGCAGGCATTTCTGGAAGCCGCTGAGGTGCCAGGTGCTGGGTCCCCCGCGGGGCAGGCATTTCCGGAAGCCGCTGAGGTGCCAGGTGCTGGCCCTGCGCGTGGGGCACAGCCCACAGAAGGGGCGCCCCCTGGAGCTCACCGCCTAGTGGGGAAACATGATGGGCAGAGCAAGTCCATTGTGACCCCTGACCCCGACCCCTGATGTCAGCATCACAGGGCGATACCAGCGGGGGGGTGGGGGGGGCTCCTGGAGGTGCTGGTGAGGAAATGCCTGCAGGAGTGGCCGTGGGGGTGGCGGGAACCACACTGGACGGAGGGAACCGCGCCTGCAGGGGCCCAGAGGCTGCTGTCTGGAGGCGCTGGGAGGGGCTGGCGGGGCTGAGAGCACAGGGGGCAGAGCAGCTCAGAGCGAGCGGGACCTTGTGAGCAGAGCAATGGCCGATCCAGGGCCATGGCCCGACCCAGCAGGGACCCGACCCAGCAGGGGCTTGGGGGCGGCCGGCCAGCTGTCAGGTGGGAGACAGGCTGCGGATGCAGGCGGAAGTGATGCTGTGATTCGGGCGAGGGGTGCTGGTGGCCAGAGCAGGCAGGGGTCGGGGAGAGTGAGGGTGGGGTTAGCCCAGCGCCAGGCACTCACCCAAGGCCACGGCCAGGTGGCAGGGGGGCAGCGAGGGGCAAGGGACGTGGACTGTTCAACATCTAGACGGGGAGGAAGCCCATTCAGGAATCGGTATTTTGTGCCCCCAACTTATTTTTTTTTAAATTTCTTTATTGGTTAAGGTATTACAAATATGTCCTCATCCCCCCGTTAACCCCCAACCTCCCCCTGCACTCATGCTCTCATCCCCCTGTTGTCCATGTCCATTGGTTTGGCCTATATGCCTGCATACAAGTCCTTTGGTTGATCTCTCCCCCTTCCCCCAACCCTCCCCTACTTTCCCTCTGGGGATTAATAGTCTGATAGCTGTTTCTCTATCTTTGGATCTGTCCCTGTTCATCAGTCTATGTTGTTCTCTATATTCCACAAATGAGTGAAATCATGAGGAATTTATCTTTCTCTGACTGGCTTATTTCACTTAGCATAATGCTCTCCAGTTCCATCTAAGCTGTTGCAAAAAGCAAGAGTTCCTTCTTTTTTACCCCAGGCCTC